TAGCAATTTGCAAGGTTGAAAATGCGGGTCAGTGGTTGAAAAACATCCCCTTCCTCTGGAATTCCAAGGTTCCTCAACAGGGGTGTGTGGGATAAAAATTGGAATAGTATCCCGAATTAGTAAGATACACTCGTATAGACTAAGGCCAGGTTGAATTTGTAAGTAAACTGTTGAGTAACAGTTAAAGTTTTATTTTGGAGGACAGTAATTAAAAATTGTTATGTGGAACATGGATCAGTGATCTACAAGCAATTATTACAGTAATTGTCTTATCCAGAAATACCCCACATTTTCAGTATTTTATCTCCAGAAATAAGAGATCAATCTCAAGAAATTTTCTATCAGATCTCCAGATTCGTTGCGGTTGGAGGTTGGCAGGTCTGATTCTGGGCCATGGTATAAACTGATCATGGATAGATACCCCTGGGGGCCAGGGCCCTTCAATTTTCCATCTTAAATCAAAATTGGCCATCCAAAAGACAGCTGGCCGGCTAAGACCTGGAATGATTAGCATCTGCATTTTGGGAGAGCATGTCAGCATACCTGGTAGGATCGAATCAATGAATAGACAGCCAAATGTTTCTGAATCAGTTCATGATTTGGTAACTCTCCGCCAACACTTGGAATAACATCACTTGATCCGAGTGATTCTCTTAACGAGGCAGCATTGTCTCCAGATGCTAACGAGGGAGGCGGTGTGTACGCTTCTCCTGGTCTGGCACCATTTTCAATGTTTTTAAAATATGATTGCCACGACTAGAGAAATAACTTTTGGTCAGTCCTTTGCAAATTAGCGTTAAAGACGCAGGAGTCTCCTGCTTGTGACACAAGTTACAGTAAAATTATGTTCTTAACATTGTTGCAAAACCTGATAATTTATTTTACTGTGAAAGCAGCAGTTTTGACCACTTCATTATTAAAGTTAATCATATGGACACAAAAATGCAAAGCTGACACAAGGAAATGGCAACTTTAACATAGTCAGCAGTGCATTTTATTGTTCAAGTACAGCTTTGCAGCCTACAGTAATGTGCCCAACTTGTCACTTTGTCTAATGCCAGATGATTTTAATCATCAAGAGAAGAGTGCGCTGGTGTGCAATGGTTTAAAGCTGATGAAGATTTTGTCTATATTTTCAGGATGTTGTCTCTTGACCTTCACAGCTGTTTGCTATCTCTAACTAGACTGGTGCCACATTTCATTGCCATGTTTCACCAGGGTTCATAGGTTGAAAAATATTTTATTTTATGAATATTTTTTGTAGTAATATTTTAATTGTGTATGAACAATATGCAGACCAACATATTATTTCAAGATTAAAACTAGTAAGTATGGTTAAAACCGACAATCAGAAACCATGCTTTTGTAAAAAATGGGAAATCTTTGCATAAATTGTGTCAATAAAATGTTTATATTGGAAACTGTCATGACAGATCCACCCAGGAATCTGAAACTAACAATTATTTTATTTTGGCTTTTTCTCATGACACCTGCTGGTTTTGTTTACATATGCTGATGCACAACTATGCAGAAAAAGGCAGGTTAACATTGAGTATAACAATGATTTTATGTTCAAACATTGTCTAAGAGCTGTCATTAACATGCTAACCTATTCAAGCATGTAATGAAATCTATGGGAAAAAAGTTAAACGAGTATGTGTATTGTTTTGACTCAACAGAGCCACACATTTTTTACAAGATAGCATATCTAACCCAGCAGGATAGCATTAAAAATATAACTTTTCCACTAATTCTTGACAGTACAACACATTTTTCCATCCAAAACCAAGCGGTTCAAAGTCCAAGAATGAAATTTTCCTGATATAATTAACACATTCTTGTCTTTTGACAACCTCCAAGTGTTTCATCGAGAGTTTGACAGAATAGCTTGATTGACTTCCGTTCAACACAAAATACACCAAATTCATGGTCATTTTATATAACTCAATACTTACCGAGTGTACGCTATTTGGGTCTTTCTGCCAAGATCTATACATATCTTCGAGATAATTATTGTTTGTGCCGTTTGCAAACGGTTCAGACGCTAACGTTCTCTGTTGCTTGACACAAAGTCTTAATGCTTGATTTCTCCACAAATTGCGGTAAAAATACTTCAGTTTATGAGTTCTATACATTTTCTAGTCTGTAATTGCTACCGCCTTGTGAAAGTCCTGAAATCAAGGCTATGTCTTTCCAAGTTCAAATATACCAAACTGTTTCGTAACTTTAAAAGCATTTGCAAAATATTGGTTTAAAAATCCACACTCGGCAGCCAAGTTGATAGCCCTTGAATGAAACTACTTCCTTCTTTCCAAAGATAAGCAATACAACAGCAATTAAACGAATATTTTCTTGAAACTTTCTTGAATCAATTCACAACTCTCGTGCAATTTCCACCGACATGTTGACTTTACATCATAATTGTTACGTCAATCACTAAATAACATCTGCCAAAATCAGTGAACATGTACGTCACTTTCCGGCATTCTCCGAACTATTACGAACAGATGAATAATTAATAACAAGAAGCAAACTAGTTCCTAGTTTTCTGATCTTCCCAGCCGAGACGAGGATGACGTCATTATGATGACTTGGGAGTTTTGGGAGACTAGGTACGAAGTTGTGAGAACGCAAGGTATCTTGGGAGTAGAACCCAGTGGCATAACCATGGGTTTCCCTGGGCCCAAATAAAAGGTGTACCAGATGAATCCTTGTTGTTGGATCAAATAGAGCATTTTCATGGGTGGCTTTCACTAAAGTACTATCGTGCAAATTGGAAAAATTGGAAAAAAGACACTTTCCGAATATGCTTGAGTGTATGGAGTACTCGCACGGGAATGAATAGCTTGTAATGCACGCGCTGTTTCATTTGCCAGCCTGCAAAGAGCATGTTGATAATGTAGTTTCATTTTACTTGTTCCTGTAAGTGTCGACATTTCTGAAACAATAGTCTCATGCGAAGTTTTTCAAAGTGCCGTATAATCATGGACCCCTAGTTGTTTCCTTAAACATATATAAACAGTAATGTTTAAATGGAGAAGCTTTTAAACGGCACAAAGATCTTTCTTATCAATATAAACACAAAAATCCTTTATTTCTTTGTCTCCTCTAAACACTTTGTTTGATGATTACAATGAGCAACATCGGATATCAAAAACGAGATAAGAATATTAAAATAAAAAGTTTAACTTCAACAATTAGTAATGAGGAAAATATAATAATAGTAATTATAACAGTTATCAAGACGAATTATTATACTTATTTTGCCATGCTTCGAGTCCAAAAACTCTTCTGAAATCTTGCTATCAAATATATCATTACATGCATCATCATTCGCAACTACCAATCTTAAATAAAACACTTTAAAATACTTAAATGAATTTCACTTAAACTATTTAAAAATTATCATTCTCATTTGAATTTTAAACTAAAGAGCATAATACCAAAGAGGCAAAGAGAAATAAAACAGGAACGATTTTCTAAGCATCTTTAATCCCAACGAAAAAGTATATTTATCTGTTCCAAGCACAGCCTCGCATCTTACGACTTTAAACAAACTCTTTATAGGAAACATTAACAAAGCGTTTAGATCCAACAAAAGGGTTTCACAAACTTCTTTGTTTAGGGTAAGAAACAAAAATCTTACATTCTGTGCTGACTAACAACACAAGCCGTGAAGAAAAAGTCATTGTACAAAATCTTGAAGCGAAGACAACACCGAAAACTTCAATGATGAAGATTCAACTATTTCTAGGCTTGACTTTTATTGCTCTTGCTTTAGGAGGTAAGCTATATTTGATTAAAAGTTTCATGCTTAATGTTTTGGTATTTGCTATCAATGTTTCTGAAAAACATTCACCGCTTGGTACTCAAAATATCTTCCCGAAGAATGTCTTCATTCGCAACGTATTACTCAGTTCGGGCAAGATACTGTGCCTACAACGGCCAAGTTTAAGATATCATTATTGTCTCTTTTCTTGATTAGGAAACGAGGAAACGAGCAACGTGAAAGGACTCATCGTTGAGAATGAACAAGATGAGACATCTTCAATGCTTGAACTGAAACACGATGGAGAAGGGAAGGATCCTGGATGTAAGAAACATGACATTTCAAAATTTAAACTGGTGTGACATAAGACAGGATTTTTTGACTTTCACTTAACATAACCACTTCAATTGTTTTCTATTCTTTTTATTTTTAGATTGTCAATGGGGTGTTGGTGTGACTCACAAGCCTGGCTACATTGTTAGATGTAGTTGCATGAAATGGTAAGTACTAAATTAATTCTTTGTCGTGCAAGGAGAAATATGTTTTACTCTTTTCACATATAGTTCACATGTATAGGTTATTGTAGAATAATACTACCTACACTGGACCACCACGTTTGAAATATCTTTTTCATGTAGTTCAGATACAAACCACGACAGCTTATTGTAGAATACTACCTACACTGGACCACCACGTTTGAGATATCATTTCACGTATTATTTTACTTTTCTTTCAAAACCAGCACATGCTTGAAAATCGGCAAATGGGACTGTGTGTATTACTTTCCTTACTGTCCATTCTATTGTGAGTATCTAGTGAATATGCACCGATTGATTTTTTGTGATTTTTGACTTGTCTATTTTGGGGTTCCAGTAAGCGTTACAAGACAACAGATGGTGTTCAATTTCAGAAATTTTGAAATTTACAAGAGCAAGAAAAGAGAATGAAAATAATTATTTTCTCGCTCTGATAACTACATGTTGACCACCATCTGCTGCACGATAATGTTTAGTGAAACCCCAGCTATCTATGGTGATCATTAACGATTGTTTTGTTTTGTGATAGATTGTGGTAACCAGGTGTACGACCCTCTGAAACAAGTGTGCTGTTGTGGCAAGCGTTACAACAAACAGCATCATCATAACTGTTGCGGGTATCAGTATTACGACACAAAAATTTCAAAATGTTGCAACTATTTCTCTGTGAAGGCGAAGAAAGATCAATGCCCAAGGGATAAAATTTAAACTCATAAACATTTCAAGAAAAATATACTGTGTAGAACTATTTAATAGAGTAAGAATGTGAAAAATGTGAAGAATAAATAAAATATTTTTTGTATGTAATTGGCTCTGAAAACACTATATTGCAGAAATATTGTTATGCAGACTTTAATGAAAGATCTTTTAAAACATGGCTAGTAAGTGATAAAAAATTGGGAAGTTCTTTTGTAGTTCGTAACACGGTCTGTTAAACAATATGCAGGCGCTTGCGGGTCGGAACAATAGGACGCAAAGGCCGATGGGAATGATGTGAACAAAATGCATTGCCATCATCACAGAGTAGAGACATACAGAGACGTAACTAGTGTACCCATTTTTTTTGTGCGCATGCTCGGCAAGTTACTAGATGCATGCATCTGATTGGATGACGACCTGATGACGACTCACTTTAAACTTGCTGAGCACGCGCAGTTGATCATTTTTCGCCCGGTCGCCTGAAAAAAAAGTGGGTACATGATAACGTAATCTTCCGCAGTGTTTACAACGGTCAGTTACGTCTCTGTATGTCTTATCTACTCTGTGCCATCATTGAACGGGAGATGAGCGACATACATAACAACAGTTTGACGTTTTGAAACGATTGCTACACAGCGTTGCTGATCATGCAACTTTACTTGACAAAACTTTGGTAATATTTAGACTTTAGTGTATTTTGTACAAAGGAATTCCCGGTCCCCATATAACTGTATACTTTTCGCAGTCAAAACTTACCAGAAGGTCGAGTATATTTTGTACATATACGTATGATGACGTCACATACGAAAAATTGGAAAGTTTGAATTTCTAACGGAATTTCGTTTGGCCATTGATGCCTGTAAACTTAACGCCAACACCTGGAAAATTTGAGAAAAACTTTCGTTCATATTCTGTCTTCTATTCGTTGTTCTTTTCGCCTAGTTTTTTGGGTAATACTAATGTAACAGAAACTCGATCCAACACGTTATAAAGCCGTGAACTAAAGTGAATTACCTCTCTAGTTTCATGTGGCAAGATAATACCATCGTCCCAAAGTCGCGCCGTCGAAAAGAATGAACTCGACTTTATTTTGTACCTTCACAAAGAAATAAACTGAAAGTTTAAGACTTTGCTTCCAGTAATCTGTCGCGAGCTGACCAGCAACAAAAGAGAAAATATTTACCGATTATCTAATTCTGCTTCAGCGCTATCATTTTCTTTCTTCTCCTGAAAAGAATTTGTAAGACATTACAAACGAAGGCATCCTATCAACATGAACGACCAACCTAATGGCAGGGCGCGAAATAACGGCCGGTCAACGGACAATGTCAGCCAGAATGCGGAGTTGTCCGGTCAAATTCTTACCTTGCCGCTCATTTTCACCCCTCATTTTCACCGATCATTTTGTCAAGTTGATAACCAAGTTCTGTTATTTGAAAAGGGAGTTCTGTCTGCTTTTTGAAAAGGGAGTTCTGCTATTTGAAAAGGGAGTTCTGCTTTTTGAAAAGGGAGTTCTGTTATTTGAAAAGGGAGTTCTGTTATTTGAAAAGGGAGTTCTGTTATTTGAAAAGGGAGTTCTGTCTGCTTATTGAAAAGGGAGTTCTGCTATTTGAAAAGGGAGTTCTGCTTTTTGAAAAGGGAGTTCTGTTATTTGAAAAGGGAGTTCTGCTATTTGAAAAGGGAGTTCTGTTATTTGAAAAGGGAGTTCTGCTATTTGAAAAGGGAGTTCTGTTATTTGAAAAGGGAGTTCTGCTATTTGAAAAAGGAGTTCTGCTATTTGAAAAGGGAGTTCTGCTATTTGAAAAGGGAGTTCTGCTATTTGAAAAGGGAGTTCTGCTTTTTGAAAAGGGAGTTCTGCTATTTGAAAAGGGAGTTCTTGCGTTTGTAAAGGAAGGGAGTTCTTGCGTTATGGGTAAAATGTGTTATTTATACATATTTCAAGGTTCAGTACATACCGATAGCTTGTTAGGTTCATCAAGTGATATTTGCGCTGTAGGCCAGACATATAGGAAAGACGGTTGCAAAGAACGACTACACTATACAAGAAGGA